CGAAGTTTAGCAAAACGTTTGCTTTTGCAAAAATTTTGCTTGTCCAAAATGCCTTTGTTCCGCTGTCAGGTGCTTAGTGTCTACCAACAAGGTCTTCAGACGTTATTTTTAGATGAAAGCAAACGTTTTGCTAAACTTCGAGTGACACATCACTAAACGCAGTTTTTGACGCTGAGCACGAATATGACGTTAATTTTTGATGGAAAATGTGTTTATGCGTGGAAAGCTGGTTTTGATGTTCAGAAGCCCGTTTTTCCCTCTGAACTTAAAAGTCTAAATTTCTCTTTTCATACCCATATACAGTAACTACTTGACTATATGATGACGCAAAGATATCCAAAAAATATTTACCAGCCTGTGCAAAAAAGATATGTCAAAAATAGCCTCAAGATCCAAAATATTAAAAGATGGGTAAAATTCTCTCAGTTAACTTCCACACTATATTTATCTTACTCAGTTTTGGACCCTCTTTCGAATGGTATAATCAAAAAATTTTTTTCACACACTCATTCTCGAGATTCCGAGGTCACACTGAAGAGTATGGCACTTTTGGCTTAAAGTCGCGTTTTCACCTTAAGGAAAAAGCTTTTCAAAATTACTTTTTTACCAAAATGTAGCTCGCGCTCTCCTCTATCGATTGATATAGTTTTCATATTTTGTCGGTGCTTATACAGCGTAAAAAAGGTTTTTATCAACTGTACAGAAATTTTTGTCGATCGGAAAATGTTCACTTTTCGGTCTAATGAGCCTACACAGAATAACAATGAATATTTGTAACTTTTTTTATGTATAGATATACTAGAGAGAACGGAGAATATTTTGGTACAAACCGCTTGTCAAAAGCTTTTTTCATTACTTTTCATTACTGGGTTATGATCAAAAGAAAAAGAGGATAGGAGTGTACGGAAAATTTTTGCGGCCACTGTATATATATATATATATATATATATAATATATAATAAACACGTGTACAAAGTAAACACCTGCCGAAAATAAATTTTGTGTAATTTCGATCGAACCAATATTTATTATACATTCTTACATTTGTTTATGAAACTTGCATAAAACGTTTTATATTCATTACATTAATTTAGATCACACGTTACATTTCAATTACCACCGGTAGAAAATGGAGAAAACTGGAAAATTGGTTGGATTCAAGCGTGTACGCATATGGAATTTTTTAACACATACGGTACAGTATCGTCATTTCACAATATTAGAACGTTGATAATCGTTTATACTGATGGTATATTAGGTGATTATGGTTATACAAGTTGGGAATTTCCTGAAATGGTGACAAGAGAAAAACCCATGATCAATGACTCGGACGGTAGAAATTATCCGTGGTATGGATCATCGCATCAAGTAGTGACAATAAACGGTCCAATTAATCATGTTAGCAAATATACAGTGACGATGAGAGACTTTTTTCATCCATGGTAAGTTTCATTTTACTTTTGAACACATACATATGCTGCCTACATGGATTTTTTTCGCTAAACCAGGATTCCATGGGATATACCGACGAGTGATGAGGAAGTACCACGTTTAACTCATATCTATCGTAATCAACATTTTCTTGTGTGGTAGGTTATTATCAATTGCTCAATCAAAAATACGTTCTAACGGATTCAGTGTTACCAGCAGCCACTTGCATTGGTTTCACGTGCATCAGAGATCGTTACGGACCTGACAGAACCTGTTTAACGTTGTTAAAGCTTGTATGCAAGCCTTTCGGTAAAGATAATCGTAATATGTGGACGATCAACTCTCTCGATGAAATGATGGATGGAGTCAGATAATAGAAAGAAACTCGGTGAATTTTTTGCTTTAATAAATTACATATATTACAGAATAATATTATAGAAATCTTTCTTTTAATATTTTCTACATTCTTATTATAATTCGGACTCGTTTGAAAGTTTTATGTTTTTTTCTCGAATTGAGAGCGTAAAATCCGTACGCGAACTGAGTCCGGAAAAATCGTCTGGAACGATCTCTAGTGTATACATCATCTCATTCTTACTTTTTAATAATCCACACAATACTTGAATATTTCAGGCTGGCGGCTATGAACTTAGAAACAAAAGATATTTACATTTTACGTACAGTTGAATGGAAGAAAATAATTGAGATAGCTGTAGATCCAAAACGACAACGAGGAAGACGTTCGATGTTAGTCAGTGATCCATCTCCTGAACAACCGATGATTTATGACGAAAATTTGCCTATTCCAACGTGTGCTCTCTATCCACCTACTGGTGAGAAAAAAATTTAAAAATATGCATTCTATTGACGCATAAGATTTATTTTCTCAAATGCAGCTAATTCTGCTCAAGTATTAGTTTGGCGACCAATTTCTGGACATCCGACACTCGTCGTTCCACCGAAATCAATCGAAATTAATACAACAAATTGTAAGTTTATTGCAAGATAAAACGATTTTTTACTGGTTACTGTTCTTTTTGATAATAATTCTAGATGCTCATTTACCACTCGCCAGATATTAGAAGACCGATGAACTTTTTACACATCTTTTTTGTATCATTTATTCCACGTGGTTTTCGCACATCGAATTTGCTTATTTTTTTTATATAATTTTTTCATCTCATTGAGTACATACGTCTGTATGTATATAGTACAATATGTGATATTTATTAAATATTTTTATAAAATTTGTTGAAATGATACGTCTATTTTGGAACATCCATATTTATTCAAACATAATTGTCTTCCGGTGTTTACGTTACTACTGAAATTTCTAATGAAATTACCAGAGACCATTTTTTTCGCGAAAAAGAGACAGTTCATCTTGAAAACGACATGAAAAATTTCATTTTCCAAGTCATTTTTCGGTTCCTTTCTCCCCAATGTCGGTCACTCTAATAACCATACTATTTTTTACGAACGTCTGACCCTGTGACCTTTTCGTAAGCCATTTAATTGAACAGTAGGGGTGTTCGGTTCTCGGTTCTCATGAAGAACCGGAATTTGCGGCTCTTCATCGGGAATCGGAACTGCGATGCCGGTTCTCACAATGGAACCGGAACGGCGGTTTCTTAGTCGCTTCCTTTTTTCGGAATCCAGACTTTTTGATATGCCTTTCTTTTAACAAAATGAAAACACACTATTGACAAAGGTACAAAAAGATATATTTGTCTGTCACCATTTAAAGGAATCCTTCCGTTTACTATACAATGAATTCCATTTCGTTGAACTACCTGAAAAATTATTTTCCGGTTCTAAGCTGAGAACCAAGAACCACGATTCTGTTCTAAGTTCGAAGCCGGGCAGTTCGGGTCCAGAACTGAGTACTGAAAACCTTTGTTGAATAGTACACATTCTAATCGATATATATATCGGAATGTACATTAAAAAAAAAGAAAATATTCTATATATACGAAGAAAAAGGATTCTAAAAACCAAGTGTCAATTTTGATTTTTCTAAACTTACTGATTTTCTATGTCATATGTCTCGAAGACTAAGCAACAGAAAAAAAATATTCTGTTTAAAACAACTGATAGTTTGTAAGGCTTGCTACAAATAACGTCTACAACGATTGTTGATACCATGCTTCGTTTATTTTCTCCGATATTTCTATAAATGATCACTCGAGCAATCCTTAAAGGGTAAAGAATTAATACAGACATTATACTAAATTTTGAGGCACGACTCTCTCGATGATCTCTTATAATATGTCTGATAAAATGATAAAAAATAGCATACACATCAACACAATTTGCGCATTAGCTATAAAAAGAACATTTAATTCTAGATGTTTGAAACAGATCGTTTCTATAATGAACGTATCACTATTGCACCGAACCGAAACCATTTGTTTAAATACAAACGTTTTTATTGCATCTGTTCTAGAATAAAGTAGAAACAGGATCCACTATTCAATAATCCACAACATTTTTCTACTTTTTTCAATAGGGAGAGAAAATTACCGCACGATTTAGACTGACAAGCTTACAAAACGAAAAAGGTCTCATGAAACTATAAAGAGTAAGCCAGAATTACTGAAACGAATTGATAAACCGCTTATATATAAATCGTTGCAGTAATTCTGGCACACCCTTTATACTCGTACAAAGCGTATATTATATTTTGTAAGATTTATTGCCTACGTTATGTACTACTGCTGCAAGTGGTGATATAATTCCTTTCACTTCAATAATTATGCATTTTTAACACCATCAATATTAAAGCGTGTGATTCCTTCTTCCCGTTCATATAACCATCATATTTACCAATAAAACGTTGTTTATTACATCTATTTTATTCATTCATAACTAAGTGTTTGCTTCATCACTCGTATATTGAAATCTTTGTTTAACAATAGTTTGATTCTTTCAGGATAGAGCTGAAAAACTCTATTACTGCATTCTAAACTATAAAACAATCGAAAAACACAAACACTTTGTATGAATAAAGATTCAAACGCATGAACTTAGTTCTTAGCAAACTAATTTTTATTTATAATATAATTTAAGAATAATTTTCTTTATCTTTTTTTAAAAAACAAAAGTAGCATTGCGCACATATAGCAGAAAGAGACACTGAAAAAAACAAGTGGGATTAAAAAAAAACCGAACAATTATTAAGCACAAATAAACAAACACGTCTAATTAAATGTTTTCTATGTACTATATTGATCATTCGAAACATACACATACAAAACGAAAGAAGAAAATAGAAACAAAGAGAATATCACCGGGCTTTATTTTGGAAACAAGTTTATGTATATAAACAATATTCAGATGTTTGTACAAAGTGAGTCGTTTAAGAAATGTACAAAACACGTATAGTAAATAGATGTCGAGAAAAGAGAGATATAGAGAAAAAAATCAGTAATATTCGCACTGTAATATTTCTTTATCTGCCATGTATGATGCATGACCGTATCGATAAAACAAAAAAAATGAAAAAAAAAAATACAAATGTAGTTATTGTAGCTTATCTATATTGTTGTATTTGTGGTGATTGTTGAGGTGTGATACCTGTCTGTGTCATAGAAAATCCAGATGGCATTGCCGTACTCATTGAATTATGTTGTTGTTGTTGTTGTTGCTGCATAGATAAGTGTCGATGCATTCGTGGATTATACATCGCTTTTTGTTGATCTTGCATTGCTGATGAACACGTCTGAGATGAATAACACGCCGAAGAATGTGAATGATGATACTGACGCTGTTGTTGAGATGGTGGTGGATGATGTTGATACATGATAGAATTGCTTCTGTGAATATGTTGTTGCATTGGATAAGATGATTGTCTATAAGAGGATTGGTCAACTGGATAAGGATAAGATGACGTCATCACAGCGCCATTTGAATATTTTGAATGCCATTGATACTAAAGTAGACAAAAAAAAGAAGAGACGCATAATTATGATGAGGATGAGTGACTACTGTTACCTGATTCATTTCATATTGGCTACTGGCATATTCTTGTGCTCTCGTTTGTTGTTGTGCAGCAAATAATCGACTTTGTTCATATTGTTGTCGTTGTTGATATTCAAACATCTGTTGTTGTCGAATAGAATCATCATATTGCATTTGTTGGTATGTGGTACTGGTATTTTGTGAGGAAATATACTTTTGTGTAGTGGTATATTTTGTAGGATTTGAAAATGAATCATTATACGCTCCTATCGACTGTGAGTTAGTATTAATGTCAGTATGACTGTTTGACTCAGAAAGTTGTTGTTCTTTTTTAGAAAGCAATTCAGTTTTCAAAGTTGATTTTATATTTTCAATCGTTTCACTCGATGGATAACGAACGATACTATCAGACATATTTGTTCGCAAATGTGTAGTCAATAGTGTTTTATTCGTATCATTAGACTGTCCAGTTGGTGGTGTTTGAGTCATAGCTCGAAATGATGGTGAGGGCGATGATGAGCAACTTGTAGTGAATGAATACGGTGTGGAAGATGAATTTGAATTTGATAATGTACCTATGAGTGACGCGGGTTGAAACAAATCATCCGATATCATTGAAAATGAAAACGCACTAATGTTTGTATCAACCGTTAATGGTAAAGTAAAATCGTCAAATCCCGATTTTAAATCAATATCCTCCATGTAGGCTTTTAAATCAAATTCATTGCCATTAAATAAAACACAATCAGAAAATATATCTTTATGAAGATCCATCTGTTGCTGTTGATGCTGTTGTTTATGTAAAGTGTTGTTACTATCAGTTGACGTATTCGCTATTAAATTTGATATAACGGGCGGTGATTGATAATGTTGACTGGGAATCTTCCTCGAATTAATGGTATCTGAAATGAAAACCTCAAATATAAAAATGAACTAAGCCCTGAGCTTGAGAAGAAAAGTTCAATTAATTTACATTGTTGATCAATATTCTGTAGTAAATCTGATGGTGATTGCAATAACAAATTTTTATCGTGTTCAAAATTTGAAATAATGTTTGTAGTTGAACACATCATTGATGGTTGTTTATAATTGTGTTGTTGTTGTTGTTGTTGTGTCAACGGAGACGATGAACATGGAATGGGAGAAGACGATGTTGACGATGAAAATGATGAACTCGATGTTTGATGCTGTATTTGATGTTGTGACGGCTGGGACGAGTCACCAAATAGATCATCGAAATAATCATTTGATTTCACTTTAGAATCTTGATAAGAAAACTGTTGGGTATAATTTGAATAGGATGATGGTGGTGCTTGAGGAGATGTCATTGGATAATGTTGATGATGGTTTACTTGTGATTTTAAATCGATTGATTGATTTTGTTGTTGTGCATTGTTTGTGGTTGTTTTAACATTTATGGTTGTGCTTACGGTTACTTGTGTTTGTTGAACCTCAGCTGTATTACATGGTATATCAATTTTAACTTCAGCTTGAATGCGATTCGTAGTACAAGACGACGACGACGACGATGAGGTAGAAGATGAAGTAGCTGGATTTGACTAAAAATACACAAAAGAAAACAACAGAGTTACTGATTATTCCTTTATATTATTCTTTCTGGAGGTAAATTGTAATGAAATTTTCAACAGCATCGAATGTTTCTTAGTTATAAAAATTGTGACAAAAAAAAACACATAAACATACGTGTTCATCTTGACTGTTCACTGATGTTGATGTTTTGTTACTATTTGATTTTGCTTGTTTTTTCGCATGTTTTTTCTCTTTTATTGCTGCATTATATTTTTGTAAATATTGTTCCGTTAGCATATGTGAGTGTTGATTATGTAATGGTATTGTTCGTTTATATATTTGTGCTTTATCATTATCACGTTTTTGATACAGTGCTAGACGATTTGCTAGTGAATTTTTTCCACGTTCATAATACATATCGGTACCATTTTCACTTTGAGCCATGCTAAAAACAGAAAACAACAAGACATCAAATAACAAGCAAACAGTTCACACTTCAAACATAATAGCACAGTTATCTCTCATAGTTTAAGTACAGTTTTGAAGTGTTACGAAGCAGATCTGCAGTCCTATAGAATACGATTTAGATGGTTTTTTAGATCGATAATGAACTTTAAAACAGATTCAAAATTTTAAATATTCTGAAGATGTGTATACTATCTAAAGTGAGTACAGACACTAGCATCGTCAACTTCTTCTACAATCTGTTAGTCCATAGTTCACTCTGACAGATATTTTGTACATCTGATAAGATAACTTTCTCTCCCAACTCTACGTAAATTTCATCTCATTATTCTAACGAAAAGAATTTCTGTAAGGCAAATCAAGACAGCGTCATTGTCCGATAAAAACATTGTTTTGTTACAAGCAATAAGTTATCGTATGTCAATCAAGTTAACACTAACATTTTACTTAATTCTACTTTTTCTTTGTTTGTTAATCAATTCAGGTTTTCTCGCTCCCATTGTGTTAATCTATAATGACAGTCTTATTTATATTTTTGGACACACTTACTTACCTATCAAACATCTGCACATTTAAATAACAAACTAATAGTTAGACTGGAGAACGAGCCACCACATGGACATTATTGGGCAGAGAGAGAGTGAGAAAGAGAAAGATACGTCACTGTTCAAAACAGAAAAAAATTTCTTTTTCTTGTTCTGCCAAATCTTCTTCGTTTCTGTTTGTGTCCGGTCAACGTATGGTCAAACGTTGTTGTATTAATAAAATCATTCTTTTAATTTTTGTACACCGTGTGTATGTGTGTGTGTATGAACGTATTTTATAAAAGTTAAAAAAAGAATTAAAAAATGTTTAAATAATTGTCTTTTACGTTTGAAAAATTATTTTTTCTTCGTTTATTCATTATTTTTCCTCCTCTTCTTCTTGTTCGTCTCTCTTCTCTTCTTCACATCATCATCAACATCAAACATATTGACAGATTTATTCATTGTAATCGTTTTTCGTTAGTTCAACTTATTTGTTGTACCCATCACAATGTATGGAGAGAGAGAGGGAGAGAGACAGAGAAAGAGAGAGAGAATGAGAGGCCAAACCATTGCAGAAAAATATTGTGTCGTTTTTTTCTCCTTCATCCCTCGAGAGAGTAATATACACATTTCATATACACAGCAACATGTACACACTCGATACAGACAGATAATAAGCTAAACAGTGGTGGTAGAGAGAGAAGAATAACGGGCAAATCGTTCTTGTTCTTCTTTCTCTCATATACGTTTTGTTAGAATAGTAGAATGATCGTGTATGCATGTTATTATTATTCTCTTACGCGTATTTTTGAAACAGAAAGATTTCTTTTTGTCTTCTTCCTTCCTTCTCTTTCCCTTCGCTCAATTTGATTTCTTTTTTTTTACTAATATATAAAGTTTTTTTTAAAAACTATAGATATATAATAAGAACTACAACAAAGAAAAGAAATAATTATATATGTGAATAGTGTTGTCATAAAGTGTGTGTATGTATTGTATATATATATATATGTCGATATATTTTATAAAAATCATAGAACAACTAGAAATATTCATTGATTCTTTTCTCTTTTCGTCTGTTTGCGCTATTGCATTATTTTATTATATACACATCTTACTGGATGCAAGACCATCATCACCATCATTGATCAGCACCAGCAAAAAAAACTATACGTCGTCGACACCTATAACCCGTCAAAAGAATCTATGATATATATTAATAACTGAATAAATTTTTCAAGTTAAATCTATTTATAGATATAACTACCAAAATAAAAAGAAGAAAAGAACGAAAGAAAAAAAATCATTTGTCTTAGTTTTCAAACAAAAAAAAATGTTTTTTTTTTTCTCGTCTCGTGTGAGTGCACATATTCTGTCGAATATAGTGAGAGAAAGAACGAAGTGCCACTTGTGACCAGCCAACTTTTTTTTTCTCTTTTTCTTCCAATTGACAGTATATCGTAGACTATATGTTTATTTAGTTTAGAGATTTGTTACTTTTAGTGCCACTGACTTGCATCATTAGCAATGTTTTGTTCTTTCACTCTAGTACAGAACTTCTATCGATAATGTTTTTCATACGCAATCGATTTGAAAGTGTAATGACTAAATATATGACTGCTTTTTTCTCCGTTTGCTGATCTTCATACTAAAACGAGAGAAAACTGTGTACTACTTTTTCCTATTTTTTCTCTCATATACATGCCGATGATACAAATTTCTTGAAAAACAAAAGTTTCCAAACAAAAAAATTCTTGTTGATGCGATGATTTTGATCTTATTTTTCTTCTTTTTTTTTCGAGATGAAAGAAAGAAAAGACAAAAAAAATCATACTCTTTAAAAAATCCGACATACGTAAAGACAGATATATACATTACGTTACTTAAATAAAATACATAAAAGGTACTGCTTAGAGGAATCCATTGACGTCTGATTATATCTATATCTTATTCTTCTGGACGAATTAGAAAAAAGGCATACATAAGCGCGACACATATACATGCGCGTATATACATACAAATCTATAGACACAATCCCAATATGAGACAAAGAAGAATACTATCATTAACATCCACTTTATCCCCCTAAATACTTTCTTCTAGGTATAGTAGTATGCAATGATTATGACTATACTGTTATTCGATCTCAGCTAAACAAAAGATACTATATTATAATATAAACAACACAATACATATTTAGCATATTGCCGCTTTTTCGATGAGTTAATCTTAAATTTAATAGAAATTGACTAAAGTTTAACAAAGAGTTTAAATAAAATAAAAACTAGAGAGCAATCGTATTGTACACAACTTGCAACGACAACTGAATGAGTGCTAAAATAGCTAAAACAGAAAATCAGCGAGACTGCTACGAGTGATATCGTTATCTGTATTACATGAACATATGATCTATGCAGGACAATTTTCAGGTGTATACGGTCCATTCCAAATTTTTGAAAATGAGAAAGATAGATTTGTACCATTATAATTTCATGACATTGACGTTTTTGTTTACTTTAAACAATTTCTATCTCTTATTGTTCGATGATTTATTTCGTTTGAGAGCGAACTAGAACGAAATGCAATTGGTTCACTATTAGAAGCATGATACTTTGCACCTATTCAGCCCCCAAAAAATTCTACAGTGCATACTTCATCTCCTCAATTTTTTCTCAGTCGCCTTCATCCTGGCTAAAATAACTCGCTGGAAAATTTGTTTGTTATTTCCAATTACTTGTGTACATAGATAACTTGATACGTTCTATGATCTGACAATAACAGAGAAAACGCTGGAAAAGCTTTCCTCATTAGTGAAAACTTAGAAATGTGTTTATTTAAAAATATCGAACTTTTCCTAGATTACTAATCAAACCGCAATAACTTTCATTGATATATGTACAATACACGGTTCACCAGATTAACTGTAGTAAATAACTACTGAGTGACTTGGCCAACTAACTGCCCTATCGGAATGATATTCCGTAGCAGTTATGGTAAAAGTACAAACACTTAAAATTACCATCACTTTTCAAAACTTAACAGAAAACTGGATGTTTGCACTTTTACCATTTTTTCTGAATGAAAGATCGTATAGAGTGCAAGTACATCTTCAGCACACTTTTCTCTTTAATTGCAAATGTTTCAGAGCTCCGAGCAGCTTGTTGTTCCAAAATTATAAGAGAAACAACATGCAAAAAAAGCGCTACGGAATATCACTCTGGTAGCGAAGTCAGTTGGACAAGCCGTGAAGCCTGTGGAAGAGTAAACATAATGAAGTGCTAAACTTTAAGTTCAACATCTCATATCCAGAAGTGAAGAGTGGAAAACTGAACGCGAGAAGGAGTTGAAAATTCGGAGTAAATTTGGAAAAAAATTTCAAAGAGACTTTCATCTCTGATTCTTCAGAGATCAGGACTCTAGAAAACCCACTCATAAGTATTCGGGAACTTTATAAAACGCACGATTGCAAAGAGCATATCGGAAAACATATAAAAAAGTGTTTGTAGGCTTTCGAATTGCTTCAATAGCAAATATCAAAATCCTTAGCCAAAATTGTCACGCTATGCTTCAACTTTAGTCCCTGGAAAACCTAGGGTTCTTAGAAAATCTATCGTACGGTCCAGGAGTGTTTATGCATTCACCATAGATGCAAGGTATGTAGGAGGACATTCTGTAAAAGTTTGGACGAGTTTTTAATTGAGCTGTGAAGGATGCACCCATTTCACGGAAAATAGACGTTCGGAAAACCACTTAGGAAAAACTTTTATTTTTTTTATCAACAAACTCCATCTCAAATTAAGAATTTTGTTTAATTATATATACTAAACGATGTGGAGATTCAGAATTTACAATGCATTTGCTTACCAGATTGTTCATTTCTGCGTAAAATTGACTTTTTGCAGATGACGTTCTTTACAGACTAATTTTTCAAAAATAATTTGTATAACAAACTTTTTTGCGCTACCAGATAGAGGATCACTTGAAGTATATCTAGCACTATTTGAATCGTCGAAAAGTCGATTTTATTTTTCCACCTAATGTCGCCTGGGTGCACATTGTGTCTCGGTCGCGGTGACCCCGCCCATGATTATGCTTCTGACTAGTTTCCTGAACACGGCACGAATGTCTGTTCTAGCTACTACTCAGTGGCGGATTTAGAGAAGGCACCATTCGTCTAAAATATTTTCAGAAGAAAGAAAAACACTTTTAGTGCTTCCAGCCTCAAACGTTCAAGCACTCGCAGTCCCGTTAAAACATCCTGGATTCGATACTGTTAGTACGAATTATTGATTATTGTTTTGTTTATTTACATTTTTAAATTGACCGAATGCCAGCTACTCAAAATCTCGATAAATATACCATATATGGAAACAAAAATTACAGAGACAAATTAACAAAAAGTTGGAAACCTTTTTCGAATAATAGGCATAATTATTTGTACACTGTTATTTTAAATCATAAACTAAGAATCATTTTAAAAATCGTTTCATGCAGATATAAAATAATCTAAAAGCTGTTCAAATTCCTCCATGTACCTTGAGGATCCGGCGTCAAACTGACTTTGATGATTAAAAGAACTGGAAGATGTTAGCATAAACTAGAAAACTTCTCAAACGACTATGCATATTTCCATTATCTGTCAAAGTGAAGCAATGGGAAAACTGTTTTTGCTTGAAAAAGCTGTTATTCGTATCATTCGTTTTGACCTTCTTTGTATAAGCTGTCATTCGTAACTGTATAATGATTTTTTGTAGGTGTGTCACACCTTGATGTAACAAGAGCGTCATATCAACAGCAAAATAGTGTGAATCTATGCCATGAAAGTGTTCTTCCATATGCACAATAAACAGAATAAAAAAGAATTAGGCTCAGATGTGTTCCTTGCGGTGCTCTCCACTCCAGCTCAAAATGGTCTGAAACATGGCCAACCAGCTTTGGACAATTATCGAAGTGTTCGAGGATATGAGGGTAATGGAGCGTATAATGCAAGACACCGTACCACACATGATCAAATGCGCTTTTAAAATCGAGAACGTG